TGATTTAGTAGTTTCTGTCACACGACTGAAATAATGAGATTATAGTACTATTATCAGTAGCAAACGACTTAACCCCACAATTAGTAAGAACCTAATTATGAACCTAAACGGCCTAAATTCCCACTAAACATCCAATAACATAAACTTATTCAGGCTGACTTGAAATATGTAGGTTATAAGCGTGTGTTTACTGTATCTATTCATGGAGGAATTCTAATCGTCTTCAAGCATGCATGCATTGGATCAGTTTGTGTTGTTACTATCTTTACAAATTATGAAAAACAACACAGTTTTGAGCTCGTCTTCCAAATAAAATCTTTTTTTCATTTCACGTATGCAATCTCAAATATTAATCATAAAAAAAATAATAATTTATGATAAATGAATTATTAATATTCTATTATTGTATGTTTGGAAAGATGTTTCATATTAAAACAATGGCATTTTTGTAACCACAAATAAAATCATAAAAATGACCACAAATGAATAAAAATATTAATATCACAGTTCCACAGTCCAACCAATGATGTTTGAGTAGTTTTCGAGCTCCACCCAGGTCTTAGCACATTCAGGAGATTGCAATGTATTCTATACCACATATGCCTTAGATGACAATTCTAAATTATAAGTAATTAAGTACCAAATAACATTAAAACTTAGCATCGCAATACAAAAACTGAATTACATTGATGTTAACATTATAAAATACACTAAAATTCCAACAAACAATCAAACAGCCAGAAAAAATACAAATGATGCACACAAAATTTAAAAATACAGAATTACACTGAAGTTTACACCAAGAAAAACAATAAAGAAATTACAACAAACAATCAGCCAGAAAAATCACAATAAAAAGCGCACAAAATTTAAAAAAATACCAATAAAACAACAATAAGAAAAACAACCAATAGCATGAATAAGGTGAATATTGCTCAAGACAAAAGACAGGCAGATCACAAAAAATAAGGAAAAACACTCAATAAGATTGCCACAAAATGTATGTATTATGTGTGTTATAATATTACGGTATGTAAAGTATGTTCATTAATTGATTGATTGAATTTATTCGATGCTCAACATGCACAAGCAATACAAAAATGATTGGAGAACAAGAAAAGTAAAAATTAATGAGCATCAGGAATGCCCATTAGGCTGGAATCCAGCCCATTTTGGGGTCATTTTTAGTCAAAACTTTGTTTTTTAAACCTTGATGCTTGTTACATTGAATTTTATTTTTGTCTTTATCGTGGTTCTCCCATTTTTAATGTTTCTTCTTCATACACTTACAAAACAGTTGTAAAAAAAAGTATGTAAAAGCAGCTCTCTGAGATGGATACATGCGATGCCATTATTATTATTATTATTATTTTTATTACTACTATTATTATTATTATTATTATTATTATTAAATGCTTAAAATCAAGAGAAAAAATTTTATAAAAAAGATACAGCAGTAGTATAACATTGCTAAATGCCATAATTTACACACAATAAAATACTTTTTAAAACCAAATGAATATATAAATACTCAAATTACATATGAGGACATGTATAAAAAAGTAAAAATTCAAAATTACATTAGATTATCAAACGATTTAAATGTACAAAAATCAAGTTCAAAAATATAGCTCGGAAATAAACTAAAATAAACACAGGGGAGAATAATTTGTCTTCCTTTTCACCAAGACAAATGAATTTGAGACGATCGTAGGGATGAGAAAGTTTGAAAAAGAAATTTAGAATGATAGCATGTACTGATATAAATTTAACGAAAACCGTAAGCTTGATTGTCACATTGATTATCACATGTTAGAAGTGGTTTGGCGCGGCGGTAACGGGTTGGCTTCTAAAAGCACTTAATCCAATGGCCGGGATAATGATAATGTGAAGCACACAGAGGGCTTAACAATATGAGCTATATAAGTCTACCATTATTATTATTATTGCTCAAATGCTTTGAATTGTAATGCAACAAGTGTATTTTGAGTTTATATATATTAGTTTTAATGTAATTTATTTTTATCTTTTAATCTGACCTTGGTATTGCCATACTGATATTATAATTGTTTGCTGAATATATTAAATTGAACTGCTGCTGAATATATATGAAATTTTTCATGTTTACAATGGGACAAGAATAATGCATATTGTTGATCGTCAATTGCCTGACATTGACGATCAACAATATGCATTATTGTTGATCGTCAATCATCATGCAATACCTCAATATGCATGCTGCTCAATATGCATGCTGCTTAAATGGCTGTAATGTTGATTAAAATAAAAATATAATAACAAATATTGTTCCTTTTAAATTTATTAGACCACATATTCATTAGATGTGTTGTCTCTAGTCATAATAAAAACCACTGGTTATTATTCAAATTATTATTATTCAAAATTAAAATATTTACATCATAATTTTAACTTTAACATAATTTCCAATCCGCAATCCATAAATATTTTTCGCTAGCACCACATTCATTGTCTCTAAAATGGCTAGAATCTCAGAGCTTCTAAAGGGTTACCTCTGACTTCCCGACGAGAGTGTAAGTTGGTGTGTTCGGACATCACTCAAAATCCCACGGAAGTGATCCAGGGGTGAAGCGCCCGAAAACAAAAGCCAGACACTCACTGCATCGTACGACTGTCACACGACGAATCCACAGTTACTGCTGACGAGCGATAGACGACGCAACGCCGTCTGCTGATTGTCAGTGGCAATCTGAACGCATCCTCATTAAAAAGATGATCTGTTGGGTCCGCGTCTTCATGTGCGTTCTTTGTTGCGTTGCTGTTGCGTCGCCGTCGCACGCAGTGAGTAACCGGCTTTATAATTTAGGGGTTTCATAGGCTTATCTAATCAATTTTAATATGTAAAAAATACATACAATTTTTCTTCTCCCCGATGAATGTGTTTCTTCTGGAAAAGCCCCAACAGGTGCCACCCCTGGTGCCATAATCACCCGGTTTTTAATTCCTCCGCAAGTTTGGTATACATGTTGAACACTAGAAATCTTAGCTTACGCTAGGCCGATGATGACAGTTGGCATATTGTTAAACGAAGATTGAGTATCACAGAATGGCTTACGTAAAAGACGAACAACAAAGTAGATTAAATCTAACGACTGAGGGTGATTCCATTTAATGTAAATTAGGACTACTCTGCTTCTTAGCAATGGTTAATGATGCAAAAGAGAATCACCCATTCACACCTTCAAGGACGTTAACAACATCACAATAATCAAGAGTCGATTACCCAATAAACCTAGAAGAAGAGCTGAACAACTTTGGCAAATCGGCTGACGAGAACAATATCAATCTAAACCAAAGTAATGTGCCACGATGTAAATCTGTTTCCCTAAAAGAGAAGTTAATGGTGTCCTTCTAACTACAGTATCTCTCGTATACCATTAAATGTTGTTTAGGTCTGTTAAGAGAAAATCAGCTTACTTCTGACCATAAATGGCATACATCTATACTACTGCTATAGCAGTAGTATAGATGTATGCCATTTATGGTAGAATCTACAATATGTTAAAAATGTTAAAACCCATCTGTTAGTATTCTCAGAAACATGAATATTTTGGTGCTTTAAAAATCCCTAATTGATTGATTAATTATTTTAGTTACAATCTTTTTAATACATTGAACATTATATATACTATCCTTTAAATTGTATTTTGTTTTGAAACCAGTGTTTTTTTTAAGAAGCAAAGCCCAATTTTGCTAGTGATTAAGTTCACTTTTGAGGCATCTTTCTAAAAACTGTTGGATTCATTTTGAATTCTTGTAAATATTGTATAAATTCGTGTAACTACATATATTATTAGGGGATGGAAATAAATGAAATTGTTTTGAGTTTATCATCACTCAAGAGTATAGTATAGGTACCTGGTAGAAAATGGCGGTCTTAATGTGCAGTATTATTATTTGTAGGCTGAATACACAGCTGCCTGATTGCGAATTCTCCACAGGGAGCGGAGTGGATGGGTATGGTTGTTTATGTATTTGATAACATGGGGTGACACTAATAGTGTAATCCAGGTAATATAGCGCTGTGTATTAACAGATTATTATCGCAATAATTTTATTAGGTGTCAAAATCTGTTGGATTATATGTCAGACACGAATTGGCCATAATAAATGTCAATCTAGAGTACTAGCATATCAATTAAATGAGGATAATGTAATCATTTTATTTCATACTATACAAAAAAACACAAGATATAAACAAATACTCTAAAGACAAAACAAATAAAAGTCATGCAATACAGTATAATTGTTCGAAATTTTGTATTATTATTAAAAAAAGACAATATTGGTATTACTGTAGTGCATTGCATTATAATGTTATTGTACAGTAATGGATCAATGAAGCTTAGACGTTAAAGTTAAGTTAAACTTAAGTTAAGAAGTTAAACTACATTTACAAATTTCAACTCTCTAAGGAGGACATTATACTTCAGTGCAAAAACACAAACTCCATGTATTACCAAGAAAACCAAAGTCTGAGTCAACAAGATCACAAGTAAAAAGGGAATTGACACATTTACAAATGCATCAATTCTCATTTTAGTTGTGACCTAGTCACATCTAAAAACAGTATTGACACATTTCTTTATAAACGTGACACTTCTGTTTCGAGCTGTAAAGCAAAATTACAACTATAAAGAGAAATGACACATTTATAAAGAAACAAAACATTACAGATGAGGTAAATGTATACATGTGCCCAGGGAAAAACTGAAAGGGCAGCAGTAACTAAAAAAAATTACAAAGAAGCTGGATAATCCTAGCAATTTTTTATGAAGTAACTGAGGACCACATATGACACGGCGGTATCATATAGCTGAAATCAAATATATTTTTCTAATATGAAGTTACATTAGAAGAGCCATTACTCATAAATTACATAAATATAATGTGATGGGCAATTCAACTACAAAGAACTTATTACATTGATTGACAAGCGGTTATAAGATGTATATACTTACAGGGTCATGTGATAGAAAACAGCTGAAACATACTAACGGAGACATCATCTCGTAAAATTTCAACCAGTTGTTCACATCATCGTTGGTGTTCAGGGGAGTCTTAGAATAGTCAGGCTGTAAAAAGATAGTAAAGACAATAAATAATACGATGAACCATACTCGTCTGTAATAAACAAATAAAGCAAAAGTAACACTAAAGACTAGTTGAGATATTTATTTAACACAAGCTTTCATGTACATCAACAGTGCCCACTGAAGAATCATACTGTGTAATAAATAGTTTTAAATGTCACTGCAGCAACATACACCTAGCTTTTATGTACAGAGTACATTGAAAAATATACTGTGGTCAAAAATATTTATTAACACGTGTATCTCTACAAACCTCTACAATACCACTAGTTTTCCTTTACTTACTAAACATAAACCAATAGTTTTAAATATTACTGCTGTTTTATTATAACATTAGCGTTTATAATTATCATTATTATAAATTCAGATTAAGAGCATTTTGTGACTTTCTGTATAAAAAAAAAAATTAAAGTAAATTAAACACTCATTTTGTTCAAAAATTATAAACACATTGCTACAGGTTAACTCGGTACCAGTACAGTTCTGATTTAGGCAATAAGCTTACATTTTGCGGTACACCAAATGGATGATTCTGAGAAGAACTGATGTGCGAGGGTCATCAGTTTATACTATAGAAAAAGCTTTTAATGAATGACTCTATTGAACCAACAAAAACTATATACTGTATTTATTAAAATAAACGTCCTGAGGCCTTTACAGTTGAGAAGGCATTTTGAGGGGGATTTTATTTCGAGAGAGGGTTCCTTTGTTGGTATAAAATGGATACGTATGTACTCAAGTAAACGCCTCTTAATTTTCAAGCGTGATCGTAAAGACTTGTTGACCCTGGGCCCAACCAGGTTAAAAGACATGAAATTCTATTGGAGTACTGTAAAACATAATTGGGATGTGTTGAGAATGATGGTGCTTCCATTACTTTTGTTTACAATCAATTAGGGGGCGTGTATTCGTGGAAAAAATGAGGTGATTATTCGAGGAAGGCGTTCATTTGAAATTTGGAAGGGGAATTTATTCGTGGGTGGGGGGAAGTTTATTCAAAGCATGGCATTTATTTGAATAAATACGGTAATAAAGAAAAAATATTCAAAACTTTGAAACAGAACAAAGATGTGAAGTTATATAAGTTACAAGTTCAACTGTCCTGGTCAAAAAACACATATAAGACTGACAGAGCCATCGGCATAAGGCTTAAAGAACGTACTATATGACATGCGCCACACTAATTTATTATGAATTGCGTAGCAAACGAAAGCAACATTGTACAAATTCCATATAACAATGATAGGCAAGTTGTCAGTGGAATATGATTGGAAAAGAAATATATTGGGAGTTGAAATTAGTGCTTAGAACCCACACCTCAACAAAAACACCAGATTATATAACCCCACTATTGTCATATGACTGCAACCAATTCAACAAAGCTGTTGGGATCACATCAAAAGCAACAACTAGAAAATAATAGGCCCTGAAACCGGTAAATTTCACTGTACAAAATGAGGATGAATTTTGAGTGAACTTCAAGAGGAAATCACTGAGATTTAGATCTGTCATTAGCCTAAAGACTCTGTTTCTACTGTAACTATTTTTTTTTCTTTACTATTATTTCCACGTAAACGCTCAAATAAGCACCACGGCGCTTATAAAATTTTTTGAGGTTTCAGTGCGGCGCTTATTCGGGGGCGGTGCTTATAAAAAAATATTGGTGTGGTGCTTTAAATGCACGTTCCCATGTTACTTATCTCGCATATTTTTTTAGTTCAGTAGGTCTATCATAGGTTCTACGTCATCGTAAATAAACGTTTATAAAGAAATGCTTGTGTCTTCATTGTGTTATTTATTCATTCTAACACTGCATACCTTGTACTTAAAACCCTGTTTTTAAAAGTGTTTCATTACACACAGGGCAATATATACTATATAATATATATAATAAATATTAAAACGGAACAGTAGAGAAAATCCAATCAGAATCGACAAAATAAACTAAGCATCCACTGGAAGGAATCCCAATATCTGCAGACGGATCCATTTCGGCCTTCCAGGCCTCATTAGTGCAGCTAGGGTATAGACCCAATATCTGTCTCTTATACACATCTAGATGTGTATAAGAGACAGATCCTATACAGTGCATAGCCCTAGTTGTCTTTGGTTGTCTCATATTAATATTATTTATCTATTAATAGTTTCCTATTGGAAGGATGGTCCATTAAATTAATATATTTTTGCTGATGCTAATACAATGGACACATGTGTATACTTTAACTTTTAACATTAAATGTTAAAAGTTAAAGTACACACATGTAAATATTAATTTATAGTATAAATTATTAAACAAAGACAGTAATAATGTTAGCTTACTTGCTACTTTTCGGCTGCTACTTCCAGGAGTCTTGGTCAAGTAAAGACACGAAGGCATATAAAACTTGCGTACATTTTTCAAGAATTAAAAATACGTTTCTCTATATTGTTTTTAAAATGTCAAGTGTTATCTACCAAAAAAGTGCAATAATATTTTACTTATCTATTACACTTTGATCCATCTTTTCAAGAGGGAACCATTTAATTGATTAATGTCTTTATACTGACGCTTGTGCAATGTAAAATGGCCGCCTGTATATCCTTGAACTTTCAACATTAAGAAATGGTTCTGTAGAAAAAACCTCAATCATATTCACATCTAAAAAGGTAATTTACCTAAAAAGTGAAACATTTTTATTTATTTATTAAAATTGGTCCATCTTTTCAACAGAGTATTTAAATAATTTCTTCTGACATTTGTACAATGGCCAGGCCACATGTGCATACTTGAACCATTAACATTAGCCAAGACTTTGTTTTTGTACCTTCTTAGCGAACCTGCCGCCCGCCAATAATGATGATTTCAAATACAAATAAAATTTTATTTTTGCCCATTAGTGCATCGGCTGCCTTGAAATCTCCAAAAATAACTGATGTCTTCCTAAACATTTACATTCAAAGCATTTAACCATCCCATTACTATAACGTTTACATTCCCCAATAAAATTTTATTCATATTTTCTCCTCCGTCTGGATGTTTTTGGCAAAACCATTTGCTAAACAAGAAGTCAAAATTTAATTTTAATTTTTTTTTCCGCCCTCCTGCATTGATCTTTAATTCCCGCCTTAATAAAAGGCAAAAAAAATAAAATAAATAAAAATTTTAATCTAAAAGTGTGGCAAAGACAAGCCAAACCAGTCACTCATCGCAAATTGTGTTTCAGAGATAATGGCTGAAACTTGTTGGAATGTCAACAATTTTGAAATCTATTTTATTGCACTAAACTAACCTTTATATATAGATACATCATGCTATGCTGTTATTTTCCCCATTTTCAATGTTCAAACAACAATTTTTTAAAATTTGGTGATGGTTTCTGTCTGAGAAATGCCCAACATCATGAAGTTTGAAGGCTGATTTCTCAAATATTGTTCTATAAACAGATGTGTGTTTAAGCGCTTCTAACTTCATAAGGAAATGTTGGATTTAAGTGATTCTTTTACCCATTTGATAGCTCTAATTTTACTGTTTAACCCTGCATTAATAACTAAAAATCATTTTATCTATCTAATAACTAAAAATCGGTGCTATCTACCTAGAAATGGGAATAAGATCAATAGAGGGCAGTGTGCAAGGAAATTCTAACTGGCTGGAAAAATACAGGACTATACTCTTTGTTGAGCAAATACACTTGAAAAAAAAAATCAATATTGGAATTACTACTTTTTAATTAGGCAAGTTTTATGAAGAGTAGTTTACTTGGCAAGTAAGAGAGTATAAAACAAGACAAACAAGACAAATATACAGTGATATTAATCATCTAACATTAATCAGAAAATAGTTCAGTCAATAATTGTAGGTTAATGCTTAAAAATGATCTCAAGATAAATCAAAGTGTTACTGTCATCATGAATCTTCCGGGTAAACACACTGTTTATGATATTACAGTACAAATATTATATTTTATATATTTATATATTCAGGTATATAGAACATGCATCCTAGCCAAGTTTCTTTAGGCACTGGAGCCAACATTGAGCCACTGTACCCTGATGTATTAAAAGTACTTTCCTGTGATGCAGATCAATCAAAAACGTACTAAAATCCCATAATGCACAAGCTTTACAGAATGTTTCCTCCAAGCCTCTAGCCAATAGAAGGGGCACCCCTAAAATCTCAGATTTCAAATCGTAAAAGTTGCCAATGCAAAATATTAAAAAAAAAAAAGCTCTATCGAAAAAAAAGTCCTCTATTGAAAGATTATCCAGAATACGCAAAACTATATTTCAGTTGTACTTGATACAATTTTGCAACAGAATCTATAATTACGAGTCCAAATTTGATTAATCGTTAAATACCAAGTAAACTAGAATTATTCCTTTTACACTAAGCCGCATTAGCTTCCCCAGGGTCTAATTTTCCTCTGGTATCAATTTATTTGTAAAGTGAAATTTAAATATCGAAGTCTAGAAATTTGTCCAGAAATGGATAAAATTAATTGGAACTGGAAGTAACGGATTATGTTGATGCTAAGGGTTTTACACTTACGAAATATATAATAGGTTTCTATATTCTATCACAGCCGTGTGCAATCACAGCATCCAGTAGAAATCGGCCATTAAAATGATTGATGATTAAAAATTTACACGCCAGTTTTAGAGGGATTTGCCTCTGACCATCAAAGAAATTCCAGCAGCGATTTGAATGAGATTAACACAATTTCTTGTTTTGTTTTAATTTAAATGTCATTATTTTGATCTTTGATTCAGAAATCCACTAGCAGCGTAAACATCCCTGGAGTTCAGCATCTAAAGGCCAACTTAGATAACGTCGTATGACTCAGCCCCATGTAATTTGTTTTGTTTTGGGTCTGTGTGAGTTAAATACTGCGTCGGGGAGAGTTTGCGTCATGGAATTTTAAGCACATGTAATAATCTCAAAACAACCTAAATACTGTCCCAACAATAAATCATGTACAATTCTGTCTGAGTAGGCCTTTTGGGATGCTACTGACATAAATTGATAACTCAGCCACGCAGACAACTGTGAGAGGAGCACTTACCAGTTTTGGAACAGACCAACATTTAATATAGATATTTCTACCTTTCAGTTTTAACTTTTGGGAGAAAGAATTCTTTAGATTCTTAGATTATAATTAGATGGGTCCTGAGTTTCCGGAAGTATTACCTGCACAGCTGAGTGCATTGCTGAGACAACAAAGGCAAATCACGTAGGTAATGCTCTATGATGACTGAGTTCAGGTAAGATGACACGGAGTGTCAGACTGATATTTAGTCCCATTACCGAGACAGTATACTCTGGTATTGGTCTATAAAGCTATAAAAGAAGTAGCCCATGGGGGCTTTTGCATCAAGACCAGACCAACATACTAAAATATCACAATAAAAACTAAAAAAAAAACTAAAAACTATCTTGTAAAATACTTATCTTTTAATGAAAGGATATAATGCCGTTTGGATGACTTCACTACTATATTTGTCACTTAGGGGTTGTTCACAATTATAAACATTTTCACAAGTGTACAAACAGTATGCTGGGGGAGGGGGGTAGACAAATTTGAACACTTTTCCATATGCATGAAAATGTTGATTCAAAATAACATGCAATATTTAAAATAACAGATTTTTATAACCAATTGTAATGTAATCATGCATATAATATACATTTTTATGTAACCAAGTACAATACATTAGTTGTCTTCACAAAAAATGGAGAATGGTTTTTGCAAAATCAACATTTTTGTTGATAATTGTGGAAGATTATAAATTTGTTATTTCTCAGTAACAGTAAAACAAACTTGTGATATTGAAGAAGTTCAAAAAAGAAAGAATATGTCGTATAAGATTTGGTCTTATATTTTATAGTTTTAGGAGCAGTGTAGGATTTTGCCCTGCATAAATTTAATTTATAATCTTTAAAAACATGAAAATGTTAGCTAATAAATTAGCTGAAGATCAGTAGTAGGCTCCTCACCACCCCACCACTCACTAATTGTTAGAAAAATTGCACATTGCGACATTGCAATAAACATTGAAATACCATAGTTCTGTAATTGAGTTGCGACTTTAGTTTAAATGTAATATTTTATTTTTAATTTGTTGGCATACCTACAGCCATGTAAATTAATTTCAGTTAAAAAAAAAAAAATCTTATTTTGTCCGTCACCGCCATGGTATCTATTGATAAACATACTGAATTTTCCTGAGAATTAAGTAAATTATAGCATTTATCTGGCAACTGTCTTATAAATGTGAACTACAAAGTCAATGCAATGGGATTTAGATTGAAGGCCACAGGGCAATTTCAATTACTCTCTACCTCAAACACTCATATAGTTTTTACTGCTCAATAACCTTCTTTTTAATTTTCTTCTTCAATCAGATGCTAGGTGAAACCACTTTGCTAAATCTGAAGATAAATCTTATATTTATTTTTTTTTCTCCATCTTAAGAAATCTCACTCTAGAGATCTAATCTTGAAAAAAAAAGTTATTTTCAACGTACAAGAATTGATTTCTTTCTTTAGTAAAATGCTTTATAGCGTTATAAGTGCAATGGGAAGAAGACAGATTCAAAACTGGCGCCGAATTAATCGGCCGAGTGTTTTTAGAGCTTCTCATGGCAGCTAATAATAATAATAAAAATAATTGGCTGCTAATAATAATAATAAAAATAATTGGCCCTAACGGCTGCCCATACAAAAAAGATCTATTAGGAAAAATATCTATTACCTATTACTAATCAATCAGCAGGGTACTCACATAAAGCTCCTTATCGGAGCTAAAAAAAAACATTATTTGTTTTATAATACACCTAAAATAGATTCTTGTCATTTGATATTTTATAAAAAAACAAAGTTAGTTCTACCTTTCTTCCAAATGAAACAGTCCATCATCTTTCAACCAATGAAAACCTTGTACTAGGTGGAGGCTTGCAATTAAACAAAATGAATGGAACAAACATGAAAGGAAATGGAATTATACATGAAGAATGATCCGAATAGAAAATGTTGATATCTAATAATGGTATTAATACTCAATGTCACAACTAAATCCCCCAATCAAATGACAAGGATTATTTTAGGTGTTTTACAATGATAAAAATTTTTAATGAAGACAACATGATTTTAAAATTATTATTATTATCGTAATTATTAATATGGTGAATTCACTGTATTATTGCCGTGGTTATGTTACTTACCATAACATGGAACTTTGCCTTTCCTTGCTCGATAAGAAAAGTTCCTCCAAGCCCCACTGTTTTATCACCATACTTTTTAGCAAGAGTCTTCCTCATACACGTCACAAAGTTCTCCTCACCTGTTCTTTTACTCGCCCTCACTTTAATCACCTTCAAAAATAGAATTTCTATGATATAAGTCAAGTAACATATATACAGTAACATCTCGCTTTTTGTTCATTTGGGGCGCTATATTCCAATAGATAAAACTAGTGTGGTAAACAAGTTTGAAACACTCATTTTTATTATCAATGTTCATGTTTTCACTCAGAAATCATAGTAAGTACATATTATTATTATTACTATTATTAATATTTTTACTATTATATAATTTTGTCATATACAAATACATATGTATGCATATTATGTGCATATACAATTTATAGTTAAACTTGCCTAAGTCGACTTTGGCTGACTTGAACAATTTATAAGTCGATCTTATTATACATGCCAAATTGTTGCATTTTGTATTAATTAACAATCTGTAAGTCAAACAATTGTTCAATGCCATTTTGGATCCAAATTAGACAAGTTCAACTGTATATATAAATGTTTGAACATACTGTACAATTTATATAAAGAACATTTGATAAATTTAATGATATATAACATGTATAGTTAGATAATATAAACATTTCTTTATATAAACTGTATATTAAAGCATAAACACAAAACTAGTACCAAAAAAGAATTTGTATATAGAAAACCCAGAAAACAATTTAAAGTAAATTAAGAATATATATATTGAATCCAGTTTTATTCACCTTTCCAGGTTTGCCATCAGACAGGAACAAGTTAGCCATGAGAGAAAAACAAGTTGTCTCACATGTCTGTAACACACATGACCCATCTTCGGGGTTGACCTTTGAAATTCTAGTGCAGTTACGCCTTTCATTACTTTGACCTCCTTTGGTCTTTATGTTTGCCATCATCTAGACATATAAAATAAATGAATGTATACTTTGTTATCATTAATGTAGCTAGTAGGACTAAGTAGTAGACTCATAATTCACAACGATTTACGATACATCCCTGCTGGCCATCCCACACGTTTTACTACTTTGATTTTTTTTTTCCTGACTCCATGCAGATCATGCATCTAAAGCCCTGTCCAGACTATCAAATTTTATTTGACAAAAACATGTGACATGCCTAAATATGGTCATGATGACATCACATCATGACCATATATAGGCACATCATGACCATATATAGGCACATCATGACTATATATGGGCATACAACTGTTTTTTTTGTCAATGAAAATTTTATAGTGAGGACAGAGCTTAAGTATATAATTCTGCACAATGCCAATCACAAGTGGTGAAATCAGCATGTTTACATTTTAACAGTTATAGAAGGATGAATATAGGAATACTCTTGGAGATAAGATAGGAGGATTTGGTATGGATTACATCAAAGTTAACTCACAAAAGTCTGAATACTTAATTTCAGTGGGGTTCTTCTGCTAGCGAGTTGGGCAGACTGCACACCGCAAACAAATCTTATTTTTTTCATAAACTGCATCGCATTCTTTAACATCAGTACCAATGGCTTATCAGTGGCGGCTCTAGGATATATTTTATTGGGGTGCTAAGCTGTCCGACAGGAGGGACTTGAGCTCGTAGGCCCAAGCTGGGGGAAGGGTTCAAGAGTGTGTTTCTCCTTCCAACTGAGGTTTTTTTAAGAATAGGAACATCTGTATGGCCAGAAATGACACTCTCGGACAGTGACAGACATGTGTTGGCTTGACGTGGGCCTATTTTTATATTCTTTTTAGTGCGACCACCCAATGAGCTCTGTCCCTGTCTCTTATACACATCTAGATGGGTATAAGAGACAGGAAATCATAGGTGCTACTTGGGCATCGGATTCATCACTAGCCACCAAGTGCAAACTTGGTGATCGATTGGTTAAGTCACCAGACTAGTTATCTGGAGGTTGTGAGTTTGACTTTCACCCGAATTTCTTATGAGATATTTTTCGCAAGCATTTGGGAATGTACTGAGAATTCAGTACTATAAAACAGGTCAGGTAGGGCAAACATCAATTCCTATTATTTCTCCTGAAGCAAAACGACATCGGCATGTATATTTATATTTTATTGTTTTAAAACCTGTTAGTGGTGGTGTCACTGTTGGTTTTTGAATAAATAAAAATTTAAAATAAAAAAATTTCATCTGAAACATAGACAGCGATATTGAATGGAACCGGGACCTTTTCAGTGGACACACCGCAGCTAATACCAGCTGAGCTAAGCTGCTACTCAGTAATTCGGTGAAAGTCCCTCTATGACATTTATAATTCACTGAGGATTACGGTTTATGTATAAAAGTAAAACAAAAAAACAAAAAAAAAAACCAGATAACAAGGGGAAGACAGGGGTGTAGGCTGGTTTCATCCTGAAGTTGCAAAAATTGAGAATGTGGAATTAAATTTCTATTCCAATGAAAACTTTTTTTAGTATTTCATCTCAGTTAGTTGAACTACCTTGCTGTCGAATGTCTGTAAAAGTAATGTGGGGGGGGGGGAGGTTGGCTTCACACCCCACACCACCAGCCTACGTCCATGGGAGGGTGGTGGTGGTGGTGCAACAAGGTCAACAATTCTGAATTTCATTCTAGTTGTTATACAATATTGAGAATCAAAGCAGTGGGTATTTCACCGCCCACATCATGTAAAGCTGCCATAGAGCCTACCTCACAATTGAAATTGAAGAACTGGTAACAACCTGCTCCTGCTCCCAAAACATATGCACCAGGTAAATCAACCAGTTCTGCAACTTTCTCAATGTCATACTTTTTTTCTTTGTTAGCAAGTGGGATAAGATTAGGGACGCCACCAACATCAGCTAATCTTGGATTACCACAGAGACCTGTCAATCAATCAATCAATAAATCAACAATAATTACAATTATTGCAGCATGAACGATGCATGCTTGCCATCCCACCCCCTCCCCCTGCCCTTAAACCCGTAATATTTTGCATCCAACACTGGAAAGTTGCTAAGAGTAGTTTAAAGAAAAAATATCACTTACAACCTTATTACCCCAACTTGTTCTCCCTTAACTTCCTATTAGATTACACCCCTCTCTCACCATTTGCTCCCTTTGTCAATACCTTCGGATATACAACCTCTGAACTTAACAAGTGAGACTCAACAGGTGAACAGATTCAAGAACACAACACATGAGAAAACTCAGTGTGACTTACCTGGTGAAGCTAATGTGAAAGGTAATTGAGTGAGATCAGGACAATCTACAACACTGACTGATGCATCCGCAAAGTTTTCTTTCAAGCCTTCTACAAGAACTAAATAATAAAAATGAATACATTAATACAAACAAATCAAACAAAATATTAAAGGAAAAGGTTAATCTTCCAAAAACCTGTAGTCGTAGATCATTAAAATTGTGAGACTAAAGTTTATAAAGACTGGGGTAAAGCCAGCTCCACCAATCAGAACCTTGGATTTGCATAAAATCATCAGCACATTAACCACAATGAGAATCATCAGTGGCTTATGTTCCCAGAGATTCAAAGTTAGACAAAATTCCAGGCGCTAGAAATATTTTTAGGTAGGCCTTAATTTTCGCATCAGTATTTGCCGTACTGATTCCATTCTGACCCTTCAAACTTCCGTTCGCCCGCTTGCAAACACATGCTAACTTGGCCAACCAAACCTGGACTGATCAGATGATAAAAAATTTAAAGAAAACTAGCGCAGAGCCCTGGACGTCTGGTCAAATTAAAAAGCCTTGCTCTGCCCGAACCGTGAAGGCTACAGATCAGTAAAGTAGTAGATCTACTTCATATGCTAGGCCCCTAGACCTATACTTTTTAGGCCTAGTTAGTGTTGAGTAGGACCGAAGCGGCCACAAGCCAAAGCGGCCGCCAGCCAGACCGGCTGCCAATAAGTAAAATGTATGGAACGCTGGTGGTGCATGCACAATTAATAATACACTTACAGTACACTCGCTAAATACAAATGTAACATGTAGACATACTGTATAGTGAATGAATACTTTAACATTCTACGATGCTTTCATTTAATGCATAAGAACATAGGCCTAACAGTAATATGAAGAGAGAAATGCAGACAACCAGGCCAACTTTATAGGGGCTCAACATTTGAACTTACCAAAACGAAATACAGTAACTATAAGAATAAGATTGTGTTACCATCATACTGTAATAATTCAACCACTGAGAATAATATACCATATTATATATGAGAAAAAGTTTACTAAAAAAAAAAAGAATACCGTACTCGCGCGAATATAAGCGCCCGGGCGCTTAAAATATTTTTTTGCACTTTTTTTTTTTTTTTTTTTTATCTAGAAATATTTTTTTTTTTCATCTAGAAATAGATGAAAATCAAGGGGTTCTTATGGGAAATTATTTTAATAATTAAAAATTCAAGAGGCACTTTTTGAATGAAAAAAAAAGATTATATATGGAATGGTGGTTAGAAAAGATTGGAATGGTGGTTAGAAAAGATAATCGTCCAGAGAACATGGCTCATAACAAGAATGCGTGAATATTTACATAACAGCAAAATAGCAGATGCAATTAGTGGTGGGTAGTGGTTAACTTGTTGGCCATCGACCGATTGATATTAGCAGGATGGCGGAATCATTGTATTTTTCTTGAAAACTAAGATGAGAATGTGCTTATAAGGTCGAAAAAAAAAAAGAGGAGTAGGACCGGGGATTGGAGCACTCATCTGTCCAAGAGAAATATCCTCATTTTGATATTGACTGAAGAAGAATGTGTTTCCACTCTACAGCTCAAATCATGCCAACAACCACAGTCCCAGGATTGATTGGATTATTGACTTGCTAAAAAGAAAATCTTATTAGGGGGCGCTTATTCAAACGGGCGCTTAAGGGAAATTTTCATGTTAGGAGGGGCGGTTATTCGAAAGGGGCGCTTATTCAAACGGGGCGCTTATTCGCGCGAGTACGGTATGCTAGTTCACAAAACAAGACCCTATTATGTTCTTAAAAGAACGTGGGATGAAACTTCTTTATTATAGTGTAAAAATATTAGTTAAGGTTATATATGCCATCATACTGTAAGAATTGGTTCAGTGACAAAATATACAAAAAAATGCGTGGAGAAATAGAATACTTTAGGCCTGTTTCTGATTGTTAATCGAATATATTTTAAAGAGATTCAAAAATTCATTTATGTTTAGTGCACTTGATTTTACCATATGTACTGTTTACTAAAAGAAAGTGCATTAGGCCAAAAAATAAATAAATAAATTGTTTGTTTGCCCTTCATTTTTTAAAATAAAAAGTGGAAAAAGTTTTTTTATAATTTTGGCTTTAAAATTACCTGCCAAGTCCACATAAGCCAAAATCGGTCCGGCGCCTATTTAGTAGTTATATCTTTTATTTTTATAACGTTCATAATTTTCTAAAATCAAATGAAAGATAAATATTTTACCTCTCATTATATAATACTGTTTTCATTCGTTATGTGAGAAATCATAGGTTAAATTAAGTAAGCTTCGCACCCAGTAAACCCTTTAGTGTTAAAAGTATATAAAGAAGTTAAATGATGTGGTATAATAATAATATTTATTCGGACTTGCACTTTTACATCAGTGGCATACTTTGAAAAACAAAGGTGCATTCGAAACACAAAACTTAAAGACAAATAATTACAAGATACATCAAATTACAAGAATAACAAGGACTTAAAACTAACCCAAAACAGCTAAAATATTTCCCTTTCTCCCCTTCCCTCAAGAATCAAATGTTACACCTTCCCACAACTAAAACGAAAAAAAAAACTGAACAAAACTTTACCCCTTATTTGCAGAAACAATATTCTAAGTACCCTTCTTCCCTCCCCAAACAATGCATTTAGCCCTCTCCAAACAATGCATTTACCCCTTCCCCTTAAGAACCTAAACAACATCAAAAATAGTAATGCAGGAAAGACAAGCGAACCAAATCGTGTTAGTCCGCTTTAGTTTATTTTTTGTTACCTTTTTTTTTTGGTTTTGGTTGTGTGTTCGTAACGCTGCGACGAAGTACATGCATTCAATTCCAAGAATTCTGACCCCTTTATTTCATGTACCGTATTAGAATATCTATTGTGTGATATAATACCCCACACAATAATCTGGAATACTTGTGAAGTTGATATATGGAAATGCAGGTATGATGGAGCAGTGTTTAAGGCATTTGTAAGTGATTACCAAGAGTTTAAACTGTACGTTGACGTATACAAAGCCAATGGAGCTTATGGAAGAAAGGAGTGACGTGTTGAAATTTACGTGCTCAGAAAATAACCCGAGCAGCCATTTTCTGGAGAAGTTGGAGATGGTACATATCCTTGTCTGAAGAACTAAACACAAGCAAGTTTGTGTAATCGAGACAGGAGGTTGCAAGAGCTCTGACCAAGTGATGGTCAGATTCATCAATATACATTCAGATGAGTGATATATTCCTGAGAATTAAGTACCTGCAAATTGAAGATGCATGGTCTGACATGGCCATCCTTTCATCAAAAACAATGCCAAGGTTTCTAATACTATCAGATGGGCTAATGGAAATATGGCCAATCTCAAGCTTAACTTGAACAGAATATTCAAATGTGCTCAGCTTGCTGCAATAACAAACTCAGTTTTTTTTCATCACATTCAAACATAAGGTGGTGACAGACTTCGAATCAGCTGGCGACAATCAGGCTATCTTGTAGATAATGGAACACATTCGATCATATTGCCTTCAAGGGAACATTTTCACACCACAGGATTGGGTTGAATACATGCAGAGTGTACAGACAAATAATGACTTGGAATGTTGGCATCATCATCTCAATCAGAGAGCCAAGCATGGTAAGAATTCTTTTTCTATCAACTAATTAAATAACATTTGCTATGCGCTAATTCCCAAATGAATGATCAAAGGCATCAAGGTATACCTAGAGTACAAATTAATTATTTTATTTTTACTTATGCATAAATTGTATGAACCAATGTTTTTTTTTTTTTAGTATTAATTATTATGTTGTTTTTTTTAGTATTAATTATTATGCATCATTTATGGATGGTTACGGAATTACAATTTTTAATTTTAGTCTAACGACATATGCAGTAAAATCCCAGCAGAATATTTTTAAATAAGTTAGATGTCTCGAGTTCAGTAATTTATTTAATTTTTGTCTATAAATAATATTTTTAACTAATTATCTTACCATTTTCGTAGTGAGTATCCAGTTCTACATGCTCTGCCAGTTATTGTATGAAAAAAGGAGGAGTCAGACGGTGTCAATCAACGCCGAATTGATCCACAGAGAAGAAGCACTGACTGCACAAGCTCCAGCAGCTCTGAAGGTCAACCGACTTCACAAGCTCTGGGACGAATATGCCGCTGGGACTAGAACTATTGGGACTTATTAGTTGCAGCCAGTCGACTCATAAGGCCCGCTGCTCACAAAGATGTTCATGCTAGGTCTATATTTATTTATTTATTTATAATATTTATTTAAACATATAATGCTCTGAAGCATATGGCAGATGATTTGATGTACAAAATGTAATCATATATTACTGTAAGTGTAAGTAATGACGTCCATGGTAAAACAATAGTTTTTAAATTCAATAATTATGTATGTATTATCAATTTGCAGGGTTTAAAGTTTAAGCTGGCCAAAAACAATATTTAGCAATTTGGCTAATTCAGTATTAATATAGTTAGCCAAATAGAAATTTAATTAGCCGAAACAAAAGAATATAAGGAATTATAGCTTTTCCATTAGCTTTTTTGCTATTAGAATGAAAATATTTAGCCAAATTCAGCTTTTATTAAGATTTGGCTATTTGTCTAATGACTTTTTAAACAATTAATTTGGTATCTGTTTATCATGTTAAAAATTTTCTTTAATGTATAGAATGTATGCGAGTTCAGCATTACATATTAGATATAAGTTATTATATAAGTACAAAAACAATATTTCTGTAATTTAATATATAGAAATGTATGAATAATATTTTTAATATAACTTTAATGTAATTTGGTATCTATTATAGTGTTGATTTTTTTAAAATGTACAGTGTGTAGTTTAGTTACATACTGTAGACTAACAAATAAAAGATTGATTTAAGAATGATGAATTAAGAATTGATTTGTGATATTAAAATTACAGTATTGATAAAAAATAATAAATTTGATCTGTAGCAATTTATAATTCTGCATTCCTGTTTGTAGAATTTCCATTCCACAAACAGACCTATACATAAAAGTATGACTAAATGTTAAATAAAATTTTTACAATAGGCTATATAAAAATCAGAATCGGAATAAAATTATACATTAAAAAAATGGCAATAGTGAATGAGATTTACTGTTAGATGATAATTGATATTATTTTATTATTTAATATATATTTACCTTCCACATCATGATGAAAGCCTTTAGGGGGTCGTTTAACATTATCAACATTGGATTGGATTGGATTGGATTTATTCGGTGTAAACACCAAGGATAGCCCACAAAAGTCTAGAAGACTTATTTCCAGTGGGGTCCTTCTGGTAGTGATTGGGCAGTACAATCCCCTACTCTTTTCCGAAGGGTGTACTGTGTTCTTTAACATGCACATGGGCCATAATGCACACGGGACCAACGGCTTAAACGTCTCATCCGAAAGACGGTGCGCTATTGTAACTTGTATTTGAACCCTCCATCACTGTTTTTCACTATGGACCTAAATACTGGCCTTCCTTGCCTAAAAAAATTAAATTTGCTACTCGCGTCAACCAATTTAAAACTAAGCTAAAAAATCAAATTATCGGAAAATATCGCTGTGTGTAAATAATAATAATGATAATAATAATGATAATTAAGTATGTTATGATAAAAATAATAATAATGATAACTAAGTTTGTTATGATAGATATGTTTCATGACAACATGGGCCAAAGTGCTCCTCATTCAATTCATCTGTTTAATTTGTCCAGTTCTTCCCGGTTTGGCTTGTTTGTTCTGTGCATTGTATTTTTTTTTTTTTTTTTTTTTTTTTTTAATTATTATTATTACTTAAGTTTAATTTAAATACAGTAATTAAGATTAGTCCGGGAGCCTAATTACAGGCCTTGGCCTTATTGGTTCCCGGCACTTGTTTGTAGGCCTACTAGTAGTTAAGTGAACAAGTGAATAAAGTGACTAATATGCAATATGGAAAATAGTGGTAAAATTATTACTTTAGTTGACTTCACAAAAAATGGAGAATGGTTTGCAAAATCAGCATTTTTTGTACACTTTCAGAGGGGAGGGAGGGGGTACCAAAAAAGAGTACTGTTTGTTTGCACTTGTGAAAATGTTGGTAATTGTAACATGAACAAAGACAAACACATACCCACCCAGGACAGAAACACAGAAGCATGAAATCAAACAATTGGGAAAAAATGCATAAAAAGAGATTTAGAAAGCAATGCAGGTAATGAATTGGTAATACATGCATATTAAAATAGACATTTGAGAATCCTTTTGAATTGCGGACCACACAACATCACACAAGACCGCACGAAAGCAAAGCTTATTAAAATATTATTACCACACGAGAGTAGAAAACGGCTTGATTAAATAAAAACCACTTTTTATAGTGATTTTTCATGAATGAAACGCTAAATGCGTTTCTGCTGACATGTCAATGCGTGTGCTGATATTTAGTAGAACCCAACTACAAGCGAGCATTTTGTACTCCAACGTGTATGGGAACGCCGGTGATGCATCCACAATGGAGTACAAAATGCTCGCTTGTAGTTGGGTTCTACTAAATATCAGCACAGGACCACACGACACCACACGGGACCAAACTGATGCAAAAATGATAAAAATATTACCACACGAGTCTCGAGAGTAGAAAACTGCTTGATAATCCATAGGCCTAGAAACCAACTTTTAGAATGATAATCGTCAAAATTCCGTTAAAAATCGAGGGTTGTTTTTGTTTTGTTGGTTTTGCCATCGTGCCTCGGTAAGTAATGCGTTGACATTGTGGATCTATAACGCATTGACATGTCAGCAGAAACGCATTTAGCGTTTCATTCATGAAAAATCACTATAAAAAGTGGTTTTTATTTAATCAAGCCGTTTTCTACTCTTGTGTGGTAATAATATTTTAATAAGCTTTGCTTTCGTGCGGTCTTGTGTGATGTTGTGTGGTCCGCAATTCAAAAGGATTCTCAAATGTCTATTTTAATATGCATGTATTACCAATTCATTACCTGCATTGCTTTATAAATCTCTTTTTATGCATTTTTTCCCAATTGTTTGGTTTCATATTATGCCAATACCGTACACCCACTGCCTTGGCGGCCGCTTCGGATGTAAGTTAGGCCTATCTATGCCTTGGCTGTCCTAGCTAGGCCCCTGCCCTACTTTCTTAAAACTCTCATTTCTCTCTAGCTATCTGCAAATTGATCTGCAGAAATATTACCTTTGCATAATTCTTGCTTATCAGGAACAAATAGTTTTCTACTGTCTACTTTCAGCTCTTTTTCACTTGTTTGTGCCATTTTACGGTAACAGTTTTACCGTACACCTTTAAATTAAGCGCAATCGCTGGAGTGGAGAGAGAGGAGGTTCCCCGCATGTGATCTCATGATCCTCCGCCTCCCATGATTGCCAGATTTATGTTCTTTTTTGTTTTGAAATAGCGCCCGATGGAGAAAAAGAAGAAAAGTATAATCAAATTTATGCCAAAGACTGTGAGTACCATTTCCGGTCATCTGTTGCCATCCGACATTTTGTTCGTCTCCAAATGTTAGGGCAGGGGAAGATTTAGGGAGGGGAACTTTCTCCCTGTAATAGTGAAAATACAAAATGTCATACAATACTAAGTTTTACAATATTTCGTAACAGCATATACCAGGGACGTCGATAATTTTCTGAAATTTGGAAAAACAGTAATCTATGTAGGCCTATAATATTAAACACTAATATACGTACGGGTCATACAAAAGGAATAAATCGTTTATAGAAGAAATTGTGCACTTTTGAGTTTGTAAAAATATTTGCCTAATAAGTTAACACGCTTCTGATTTTAACAACGTACAGTACATTGTTTTCACAATAAATTTAGCCTCTAATAACCGTTGCACCTATACAATCGTAGTGGTTACTGAGATAGTTACGAAATGTACAAACAATTGCGTTTTTACTTGGTTTTGGTCCAGAAATAGGCACCGCATTTGAAAAAATGAACAAAATCCATGACAATCATGCGCTAATTGTTATTCTCTCCATTCGCTTTAAAAATTTGAGTTTTAATTATAGAAGATTGGTGAAAAGTGGAGGGGAGGGGGAAATTGATTTGATGCCCCCCCCCCCAATTTGAAAAGTGGGAGGGACGTATCCCCTACTGATTGACGCCCATGGCATATACTGAACATCATAGCCGGGCCTGAAAAACCTAGATACGAATTTGGTGCCCCTCTCGTTTAAAAAGTCTGGCCTTTCCAAGTTTTTAGGGCCCATTGGAGTTCTCTTTGGGGACAACCGTAGGAACATAATTTTTGGTCCTGGAGGTCGTCTTCAGACGAAGTTCAATTGTATTTAAAGGTATACATTGCAAAAACCAACTAAATTAGTAATTACGGTGCATGAGAAGACCTATTAGCAGCATATGGGTTCAATTCCTATTAAGCGATAGAAATGTTATTATGGGAGCTTTAGTGTTGAAAAGATTGACTGTTTTGGAGATACAAATTGAATGAATGACATAAAGTAAATCATTTTTTTTTTATTAATCAGAATACATATAATTATTTAATATACCGTGAGGTGCTAAATCAGATTATCTATCTAATACTGGGTGGTGTCTGGAATGTGTTCTTATTCCTGACAGTGTTATTCGTTATTTTCTAATTTACTTCAGTTTGCTAAAAGGATGATGATGTGAATTTGAATTGACTGTGGTAATAATATTGTGGAGTCAGATTCAAAGTAACCATCGTCTCATTTGGCATTTAACTGAAGTATAAAGTAGGCTGCCTGGTAATATAACGGCACAGTGTATTACGATTATGTTTTTGCCAGGAAAAGGGATACTAGATTAGCGCCCTCATTAATGTATATCATATCTCATGTGATTATATTTTTTTTTATCAGAAAACCGAAGAAAATGGCGACGAATTATAATGTGTCGTTACCACCACAAATGTTATGAGGATTTTGTTCCAATACACGGGATACTATGAACTGATTTAACATCAGCAATGGGAAATAAAGAATCAAAAGCGACAGTTCTACCCTATGAAGAAGCTGTCAGACGAGGTTTGTGTCTACAATCACTTGTGTTTATTGTGTATGCCTCATGTCATGTCAGGCTAGCCTAGCCAGGCATGAATAAATAGCGTAGGTCTCTGAGCCTAGGACTTCTTGGAGTAACTTTACTTTAGATTAGACTGTTGTTGTAGGCTACCTCCATGGCTAGCTAGGCCCTAGCCTCTAGGGCAGGACCACTTGTACAGCACAAGGCCTAGGCTACAGTATCAGCAGTATTGCTAGGCCTGGCTAGCCCCTTTTGGTTAGGTTACACAAATCTAGACCTATGCCAAAAAATAATGGAATAGGCCTAGGCCTAATTGCTGAGATAGGAGGGCCCCATCCAGGTAAAGTAAGGCCTGTACAGGGAACCAAGGTGATGTAGGCCTATCCTGTCTTCCGCCCATATATTAGGCCTAGGCTAGGATTCAGGAATCCATCAATGCATTTTGGAAAATAAATGAGGGAGGGGACTTTAACCAGGGGGAAAAATTAACATTTTTACACACGCACGATTGGGCGAGTGACCTCGAGTGGGCATGGCCCGTTCATCAGCTCAGGTCCACACCCACTGGCTTCCATTTTAGATGCCCTATTTCATTTTTCTAGCTAAGCCCCTGGTTTGGAGGGATTTAGTTTATGAAGCACTAGCTGAATTGCACAAGTTTGGTGTCTGCTATGACCTGACTGAAATGTAGGGCTGGGCCTGCCCTGGGATTATTTCTGCATAAAATTTAGGCCTGTATCCATCACACATTTAAGAAATATGGGCTGTTAGCAATAACTATTCTGTCCACATACAATTGATTTTCTGGAAATTTTGTGTACACTCTACAAATGAAATATTTTACAATACACAAGAATTGTGAAATTAACTATCATGTACAGTATGTTTTCAAGAACAGTGTAGTCCTTTATTGTTCTTGTCATATCCTGGAGTTGGACTGCTGTCCTTGAATTTACTTGATTTTTTCTTCCATTCAAATTCACAAACCATAGAATAGGTACCACATGATAAATACAAAGGTGAATATTAAAAAAAAACAAAAAATAGCAAAAAAACTAATATTCTCAGTATCATAAAAAACTTTATTTGAGGAAAATTGAGCCACTGGTTACGGTTTTATAAATATTTGAAGTTTACAGTATGAGCGCGTGAATAGCAAGTTGCATGTTAACAATAATATTCACTTTTTGCCATATATTTCTGTTAATTTTTGTAAATGCTAAAAAAATAGTGTACATTTGATTGTAAATTTTTACTGCAAATTACATTGGTCATGTAGCCTTAATACACAATGACCCGAAAATTTATAAATTTTTCAGATGACCTTTGACCCACAATTCTGAAAACAGAATAAAAACTATCCCTCACCCCCGACTTCAAATGACAAATTTCATTGGCCGTTACGCATGACGTCATCCTCTTGCAACAAAAACTAGCATCGTCTCACAATTCTCTCGAAATCATCCTATGGTTAATATTAGCTAAAAGTATATTTTAATACTTTAAGTATCATTTAGTTAATTTTTGAACTCATTTATTTTATTTACATGAAAAATATTGCCGTTTATATGCAGCGCTTTCATTAAGATCGTTATGGTTTACCTCGTGTACACGATGGCCGATCAACAGCTGATCGGCGGTTTTGCGGTGCCAAAAAAAAATATTGCTACGCCTCGTATTACATTCATATTTGGCAAATAAACTCTTAGATATAAACTAATCTTCGTTATTAAAAAATTGAACTTTATTACTCGCAATTCTCTGGAAATAACAACAAATTTTAATGAAATTTTCAAAAGTTGATAACTTTGTCACAACAATTGCCGATGTTATGCTATTGTAGCATAAGTCCCGCATTCTCTCTGCTATCCTTTCGTGGACACCAGCCTTCCGATGGTACAATTTATCTTCAACTTTTTCGGCGATTTCTGGCTCCCTCCAGATATCTATTAAATCACATTCCTGCGCATACGTCCAGAGATGGCGTTTCTTTACTGACTTTTCGGCCATCATTTGCAATAAAAATTATAGTACACAGATCAGGGAGACTGCGTCAATTCTGAATGGTGTTTATGGTAGTAACTAAAAAATGCGCTAACCAGCAAGCATGGAAGGTCACTTTGCTTCAATTTGATTGGTGTATTCGTGACCCGTGGCCACCCGCTGTTTAATGTTTACTGGCTTTAGCTGGATTAAGAAGTTAGTCGACATAAATTTACTCTACGGGCTTAGTCGAGTTGTGGCCTTCATCTCGCCATACTTGAGCGGTCATACTCAAACTTATGGCGAGA